TATGACATAAACGTGAATGCCAAACATTAGCCTCATCATCCACAATGCCACAAATATGGTTCACAGACTTATTGCAGAAATCAGAAAGGGAAAAGCGGAACAGGCCTCCGCACTCATAACCTTTACCAATAAAATATCCATGTTTAGACACGACTACTTTATTAGACTCAAAAACCAACTTAAATCCGTCTCTAGTCAGACGGGAGCCACTAACAAGATTCCTGTCGATAGAAGGGACATGCTGCACGTTCTTCAGCTGCACGATCTTTCCCGAAGTAAACTTCAGATCTACCGTGCCAACACCATGAACAGAAGCATGTGACCCATTCCCCATTAGGACGGTGGAACCCCGTGCGACCTGATAAGAAGAAAACAATGAGATGTCAGCACAAACATGTACATTGGCCCCAGTATCAACCCACCAATTAGTAGATTGATTAACTGAAAAAACAGTAGGTAAATTACCATACCCGCTTCCATCTCCAGTGTTGCCAATGGTCACATTAGCAGACTTAGAAGTCTGCCCTGCAGGTGCCTTCATCCCCTTGCGTTGTGGACACTTCCTAGCCAGATGACCAACTTGGCCACACACAAAGCAAGTCCTCTCATCCTGATTAGGATTGTTGTTGTTCTTCTTCTGCTTCTTGAAGTTGGTGGTCTGCTGAGCTTTGTATTTCCCCTTGCTCTTGTTCTGGGCCTTGTGCACAACATTGGCACTGGACTGCCCACCATCGCCCTTAGACGCGGCATCTTTTTCCCGAGCTTTCTCCTCAACATCAAGAGACGCAATCAACCCCTCAACGGAGTATTCCTGTCTCTTGTGTTTGAGTGCAGTACCGAAACTCCTCCAAGATGGAGGTAGTTTTGCAATAATGCACCCGGCCACAAATTTGTCGGGTAAGACACACTTAAGGAGTTCGAGTTCCTTATCCATGGTTTGTATCTCATGAGCCTGTTCGACTACAGAACGGTTGTCAGCCATTTTGTAGTCATGAAACTGCTCCATGATATACAGATCATTGCTAGCATCAGTAGCACCGAATTTAGTATTCAGTGCATCCCACAACTCCTTAGCGTCGGTCATATGCATATACACCTCGACCAGACGATCGCCAAGAACGCTAACAATGCATCCCACAAAGAGAGTAGTGGCTTCCTCGAATTGCTTCTGCTGTTCAGCAGTAAGAACTCCTTCAGGTTTGCCAGTACTCACCCAGAAGCATTTCATAGCTGTCAGCCACAGAGTGACCCTGATCTGCCATCTCTTAAAATGCACACCGGTGAATTTATCCGGCCTCAGTGCATCGGCAAAACCAGCCATAGTAAAATCACAGTGCCTATAATAAGGTTTTTGGATTGTTGAGATTATGGGCATATAATGATTTAATTTATTCCATAAATAAATCATGACATTACAGATGAAAACTAGCATGAACGCATCATTAGATCTACACATGTAAACTACGCAGAATAACATGAACATATCAAATATGCGCAACATATTGAACACGTACCGAGGTGATGAAAAGACCGGCTGCTTGGTCGAAACTTTTCGCAGGTGTCTACGAAGGCACGAAACACGCGAGCGAAGAGGAAGGCGAGCCGTCGCGAACGAACAGGGAGCAGTCGCGCGAAGCGCTTCCCAAAAACCTTATTGCCGCCTTCTCCCGGTGCAGGACGTCAAAGGCAGAGGTTCCGGAGACCTGCTCTCCCGATCGCTGGTGCACGCCGGCGAGCGGGATGGAGTAGTCTACGAGCGACGGCGCAGTACAGAGTAGGAGGCAAACCCTAGATTGATTTTCGCATATATTGCGTGAAGACGGCGGGTCGGTTTATATAGAGAAGGGTCGCTTGATCAGGGCGCCCGCACGATCTCTACTGCGCGTAACCGAACCGGATAAGTCGCGCGTAACTTATCCGGACTCCACGCCGTTTGCACGTACCGTATTTTTCGGAACGTTTCCAAAACAAAAACGAATCCGAATTTGCAGCAAAACAAAACTGCAAAAGGAGGCTGCATCTGCGCAAGGGTGCTGCATCTGCGCAAGGGTGAGGAGCCAATTTTTCGGACCATTCGACGCGTACGTCGTGCACGCGCGCCGCCTGCCCTGCCCTGCCAGGCCAGGCGAGCGAGCGCGCGCGTGTGTTTCCCCTCTTCTCTCCACCACACATGCTTCAAGTGGCTAGGAGAGCATCCTCCCTTTTAAGGAGGTCCCCCTCTCCTAGAATAAGCAAGGTGGTACTAAACTCCACATGCATGCCATCTCATGAGGTGGGCTTTTGTGATTTTCCAAAGAATTAATCTTCGAGTGGGCTAAGGCCCATTCATTAATTCCAACACACTTCCCAGAGTCTTTCCACCGTGCATCTTCGGAGACGTCCTAGCGACAGCTGCAAAAACAAAGGTTTGATCCTCTTTTCCCTCAACGGTTCAAACGAAATAACAACTCCCAGTGGGCATAGTCGACGGTGAACATGGAAGATAGACGCGATATCAATGCATTCCGAGTGATGAGAAGGAACTAAAGGTACCCTTTCTAAACCAACACCTTTGATGTTCCACATATCCAAAAAGTCGAGAAGCCCCCCATCACCCTTGAGATCGGTCAACAACAAAAAACACAGAATCAACATTCAAGAACAAAATCAACATCCACATATCAAAAATAAAATCCAAGAACACAGAGGGGAGGACACCGAAGGAGAGAAGGCCACTGCCACTACTGCTCATTGTGGGTGAAGTCCACTCTTGAGCGCCGCATGATGGGAGGGCAGCACCATTCGTTGAGGGAGTCGCCGTGCCAGGGACAATTGAGGGAGCCGCTGCCGGCATCAAGTGGTCCGTCCCTGAGCTCACAGCGATGGATCCAACCGCCCCCGTGCTCGTGGCGGCAGATTTGGCCACCCCCTTGCTCACAACAACAAACCCAGCGGAGAGGAGGAGGGACGGCGTTTGTGGCAGAGATGAGGGGCGGTGGTGGCAACGTAGATAGGAGTGGTGGCAGTAACCAAGAGAGAGACGGAGAGGCTCAGAGAGAGTGGCGAGAGAGAGAGAGAGAGGGAGAGAGAGGCTGGACTCTAGAGACAGAGTCATCCATATATAAAAATCCAGGTCGGCTCGATTGTCGGCTTGACTACCTGAGGAGTGTTGGTTTTCTAAAAGATTACCCGGTTGAAGCATTAGCTTGCTTTAGATGGTATACGGGCGGCAATGGAATGGGTTCACATGCCCATTATAGCGGATACCAGATTACCGGTAATATAATCCAGATGTGGCAGTTAGCCTTGTGAAGGACTGCTCCGGCCAGATATATTCACAGGCAACGGTGATTACTGAAGTAATTAATAAGCACAATGCAGTGTTAAATTTTACTAAATAAAGAGCGAACCAAATAGAGTTGGCGGATCCAGCATGGGGGCGGCGGGGTCTCGAGCCCTCCATTACTGGCGTGAAGACTATGAGAGACCCCACAAAGACCCCACTAAAATTTTTTACCATGGGAGGGGGACTGTAACTCTATCTAGTTTGCTTAGACCCCACTACTATTTATTTCTAGATCCGCCACTCTTCATATTTTTGCTCAGCAATGTGCACGGCAACATATATGGAATGGCGTTTCTGTGCTCCCGAAGGAACCCCATTCTCTTCCAAACTGTTCAGATTCTTACCCAGAAGATAAATTTTGCTACGGAACACCTCAAATTTTAGATAATTTGCTGATAGATATGGTAAAAACGTGTTATGGCTGAAAGACACCATAAAAAACTGATAATTTGCTAGAGAATACTTTCGATTCAATTGAAGAGAGAATTCTTTTCAAAGACGAGAATGCCCCTAGGGCCAAAAGCTTCTGAGTTGAGGCTGGAGTGAAAATGGAATATGATGTACGCTTGCGATGTACTTAAGGTGATCACAAATTTAAAGTTGCATAATTTCTAAACTTTCACTCTAACATCATGTGTTAAAGCATGTGGTCCTAAGGGTATTCTTGTTTTTCTTAAGAATTTATCTCCAGCAAAGTGTTCTACAAGAATTTATGTGCAGCAAATTGTTCTCCAACAAATTACTATTTTTTGGGTTTTTTTTTCAGCTATCACATATTTTTGTGATGTCTACAAGCATATTATAGAAATTTCGGGCATCATGTAACAAAATTTGCCTACCCAAAATATAAGAAAAGGAAATATCCTGGGGAAATGAGCTATGTGTTGAAAACTCATGAAAACCATACTTTAATATTTTGTAAATTCATGAAAAAATATTAGAGATAGGTGTAAATAAGAAATAAATTCTCACTAAATGTTAAGTCCAAACTCAACTTCATTTGAGAGAAAGAAATGACAAACTTCATATGAATATAACTCACAAAATAAATTAGAAGCTAGAAATTAAGAAACCTAACTTCCCCAAACTTTATATGAGTAGAACTCACAAAATAAACTAGAAGCTAGAAATTAAGAAACCTAACTTCCCCAGATTTTTATGAGCTGTTTATCATAATCGCAACTTCTCAAACAAGATCTTAAGCTCAACTAAGATAGATTTTTTAAGAGTGAATTCAGAAAACTATTGATACATCGACCAAACTATATATCATGAAACTATAGTTTTAAGAGGTATATCACAAAACTATAGATTTAATAATCAATTTGTTACAAATTTACAATTTATTTTAAGGTGATGTTCTAAGGTAGATTTATGTGCTATAATATCGGTGCAGAAAAACTGAAAACGAGGAGAGAGCGAGAGAAGAGCTGGGGGCAGCTATAAAAAAAATGTATATTTAACTTGTACTCATATATAACTATTCAAAAAAATGTGCACGACATAGTTGGCTAGCGCCACGAGCGAGACTGCAATCAATAGGTTGCGAGGCTGATTCTTTCTTTAGCTAGTGCATGTGTTAGACAATTTCTTTTACCAACCCCGGACGAATGTCAATGCAATCCGACTGTTAGAAGGGAAATTCACTGTTTAATTTCTAGCGATTCCAGAAGAGTTTGGTGCTGCAAAATTCGCAGCTTTTCTGATCTTCTTTCTCCTTTATTTATTGATCTCCTCAAGTGGGAGTTTGTTACATACTACAAACTTTTCTTCTTTTTCTTTTTTGTTTCATATTACACACAAACATGACCGATTAAAACGCACGATGCAACAAACGCGCTATCCCACGTCGTGGCACATCCGACTTCGGTCAGAAAACGAGCTGAAGAAACGCTTAATTCTTGGCTTCACTGAATATAATTCCGGTAACCCCGGATTATATCCAATTAACCACTACATGAAACAAAATTAATTAACTTAATTCACATGAGAGGTGGCGTGCAACAGCATCGCATCAACGGTCATCCCCGGGCCGAACGCCATCATCACTCCCAACTCCGGCCATTCACCCGCCGCCGCCGCCTCCTTGCGCTGCCGGCGCAGCTCGTCCAGCGCGAAGATCACCGTAGCGCCAGACATGTTCCCGTAGTCGCTGAGCACACGGCGGCTCGCCGCCAGCTTGCCGGGCTCGAGGCCGAGCGCCGCGTCGACCTGGTCCATGATCGTCGACGAGCCCGGGTGCACCGCCCAGAACAGGTCGTTCCACCCGCCGCCGCCGTCGCCGCCGAGAAGTGGGCCGAACATGTCCAGGAGGCACCGCTCGACGTTGTCCCCGATGAGCCCCGGGACCTGCCGCCCGAGGACGCCGTCCAAGCGGCGCTCCGTGAACCGCATGTTCAGGGCGTGGTCCGACTCCGGGATGATCGTCTGCGCCGCCGACACTATCTCGAACAGCGGGCGCTCGACGTCGTCGGCGTCGGCGCCGACAATGACGGCGGCCGCGCCGTCGCCGAACAGGCCCTGGACGAGGAGCGTCCTGAAGCAGCCCTCGTCGGGCCCGGTGAAGTACATGAGGGTGAGCTCGGCGGCGACGACGAGGACGCGCGCGCCGCGGCTGTTCTCGGCGAGGTCCTTGGCGAGGCGGAGCGCGGCGCAGCCGGCGAAGCAGCCGTTGAGGTGGAGCATGGTGCGGCGCACGGAGGGGCGGAGGCCGAGGAGCGGGACGAGGCGGAAGTCGACACCCGGGACGTGGGCGCCGGAGTTGGTGGTGACGACGAGGTGGGTGATGTCGGCGGCCGGGCGGCCCCACTCGGCGATCGCCTTCTTGGCGGCCTCCGCCGCCAGCTCCGGCACGGCGTCCGCGGCGATGTCCAGCCGCGCGTCGAGCGACGGCGCGTCGCGGTCCACGAACTCCGGGTGTGCGGACAGCATCTCCTCCGTGTGGTGCAGGTACCGCCTCTGCACGCCCATTTCCTGACCTGCGACCGACCATGGACAGCATGCTCTCGCATTGTCACTACTCACTAAACTTGCAAAAACATATACTACATCCGCCCTAATACTTTGAATTTTAATTTGTAGATTTTTTTTTATAATTTGTAGTTTGTAAGAGTTCTAATTTGTATATATTTTTTATAATTTGTAATTTGTAAAAGTTGAATTTTAACATGTATATTTATCGACTGATACATCACATGCTAATACATCTTTTTTTTTGCAAATTTATTTTGTAACCATTTGGGTGATATATGTAAACAACGAGTGGACGTGTGAACGTTTTCTCGAGGGTTTAAAATCCATTCTCGGTGGAGGTTGTATATGCAAAATTAATATATCGACTGAGAAGAGTTGGATAGTAGAAGGAGAGAGGCTGTCGTGTGTTTACACGTACAGATACGCTTGAACTTGTCCTTGAGGGCAGTGAGGTGGTCGCTGTTGGTGACGCGGAAGTAGAAGTCGGGGAACTCCTCCTGGGTAACGCAGTTGGGAGGGTTGGCGGTGCCGATGGCGAGCACGGCGGCGAGCCCGTCGGCGCGCTGCGACCGCCGCATTTCGCCGAGCGGGTATAAGGCGCTTCCCATGGTCGTCGTCGGTGCCATGCAAACAATTAAATCACTGCAACTAATTCTTCGATCTCGATCGATCTCCGCCCGCCTTGCTTGGCACGTCTCGCACTTTTGTTTTGCAGACCACCTCACACACTTATGGTGTTTATATAGCAGTGCGCTGGATATATGACCCACTGCTTGTTTGTCAGTTGCCAGATTTTTCAAAACATCTACGTGTGCTGTTTTGTGTATCTATCTATTATCTATATATCTATCTATCTATAAGATATATCTTAAGGCTGCGTTCGGCAGCTGCCGATTAAGAGAAGACTTATCTCTTCACTTTCCGAGTAATTAAACGGTGTGTTTAATTTTCTTCAAAAATTTTCAATAAGAGTTGCTTTAACAAATCATATCAATCTATTTTTAAATTTTAAAATAGTTAATACTCAATTGATCATATGTTAATGGCTCACCTCATTTTGTATATCTCAATCTTCTCTTTTCATCTCCTTTCAAACACATTAAAGTCCATTAAACATCCTATAAACGCTCCACGTGACACTTCTACAAACGCTTTCAGACCATCATGTGACGCTCTAATAAATTAGAGAAAATCATATATATTCTGAGAAAAAAATCTATCCATTTAGTTCCACTCAAATTAGTGGATCCGTTATTTTGAACCACTAGATTACGTCTATTAAAAATTAATTCCGTCCTAATTGATTTCCCGTGTAAGTAAGAGATAAAATACCTACGCATAGCTTCACATGAAAATAAACCTAAAACACATTACCCCTTGAACTTCTTAGTATTAAAAATCAACCAAATCTAAATAGATAGCCACATATAATGTCAAATTACCCGTAGCAAAGCATGTGCATTCAACTAGTTTACATTTACATTTATATGCTCCTAATTGTCTTATAATTAAGTGCCTTATATATGTCGCCTTCCACTTTGGCGTGCAGTGTAAAGTTTAGTTCTGACTTGATTAATTAGGCAATTTCAATATTACCAATCAATAATTGTATGTTATACTTGCATTGGTTTAAAACCGCATAAATTTTAGTGAAATTCAAAGTTCATCTTGGAGTCCTCGTTTAGTTTTTTTATTTAATAACTCAAATTCAAAATTAACGATTCTAGCTAGATGTACACTAGATGTAGATTGAATTGTTATGATTCGATTAGGGCACATTATTTTTCTAGTTACGTTGTTTAAATTATCAAATGTTTCTCTTTTAGAACATTAGTATCAAATAACTACGACATGTTCTTTCTTAGCAGATAATGGATAATCCGGCTTTGACTTAAGAACAAGCTACCCCCACTTCCTATGAAGTTTTCAACTGAATCAACAGTAAATATGCATACTAATGAAAAAGATGACAAGAAGGAGAAACATTATTAGGAGGCTTCCTATTGGTGAATCTTCATCCAATGTTAGTGAAGATTTGCATGACCATTTTCTCCAAACTCTGGCGTACAATACATATATGAGTTCCTTGTTTTTATCACACTTTTATAGTTGGGCCCAAAACTGCAGCCAATAAATATAAAAGTACTTGCATATAAGATTTAAAAGTAGCTCTGTCAAACACCATATCACTCATGGTAAACCAAAGAACCTAACATAAAATATATGGATCTACTAAAATAAGCTTTATGGTTCTTACGTCAACGGCACTAAGCTAACTCCCCCAAAATGTGAAACATTATTTGGTGGATTCAAGCCAAAATAAATACGGACCAATCTCCAAAGAAATTTAGCAAAGTGACAATCAAAGAATATATGTTGGACAGTTTCAATATGCATACAAAAGCAACATTTTTTTAGTACTAGCCCAATTTAGTCTTGCTAAATTATCCCTGTTTAAGATATCCCCTTTAATTAAGCAAATATCACATAAATATTTTTATTTTAAGAGGAATCCCATTTTGTTCTTCTCAATATATATAACCATTGTTGATTGCAGCTAAGTACATAGGATGGATAGAGAACATACCATTTTGATGAAGATTCCATCAAAATATATCTTTATCCTCATTTAGATTAATATCCCAAATCATTGGTTCATTGATGTACTTGGCTAGTGCAACGAGGCCTGATATCTCATTTGCTGTAAGTAAGCTGAGCCGGTTTGTCTCAAATTCGGGAGATGATCATTGGCAGGCTCTGGAAAGAGTAATGCGCTATTTAAAGGGCACTATGAGCTATGGAATTCACTATACCGGGTACTCAAAAATACTGGAAGGGTATAGTGACTCAAACTGGATATCTGATGCTGATGAGATAAAGGCCACAAGTGGATATATGTTCACACTTGGAGGTGGCGCTGTTTGCTAGAAATCTTGCAAGCAGACCATCTTAACGAGGTCAACAATGGAAGTAGAACTTACAACACTAGATACTACGACAATTCAGGCCGAGTAGCTTCGTAAACTCCTGATGGATTTGCCGGTGGTTGAAAAACCAGTGCCAGCTATCCTAATGAACTGTGATAATCAAACAATAGTTATTAAAGTGAACAGTTTAAATGACAACATGAAGTCATCTAGGCATATCAAAAGAAGACTGAAATCTGTCAGAAAGCAGAAAAACTCCGGAGTGATAGCATTGGACTATGTCCAAACGGCTAAAAATCTGGCAGATCAGTTTACCAAGGGGCTACCATGTAATGTGATAGACAGTGCATTGAGGGAAATGGGCTTGATACCCACCTAAGGTCACACAATAGTGGAAACCTGTCCATTGTGATCGGAAATCCCGTGAATTTGGATGGCGAAACAAACTATTGTGTGGCTGAGAGAAGAGACCCTTAAAAATGGCTCATTTTCATGATGTACTTCTCTTCTATTCTGCATGGTAGGATGGCTTATGCCTTAATGTGGTCCAAGTGGCTTTTCTAAGCAGAGATGTTGACCTGCAGAACATCTCAAAAGGAACACACCTATATGAGTTCGACTGCTAGCCACAGTCTATGAGATTTGGGCGATCTCTAGATACTCATGAAAGGGCCTTGAGTTTGACTTATATGCTCCAAAAAGAGGGGATGCAAACGGCAACCCAGTACCAATCAAGGGTTTGAGTGAAACCTGATCACACAAGACTAACAATTCAAGGCATAGTCCATTGTTTAGTTGTGGTCTGATGTAGCTCATTTTCTAGGTGGAAGTTCAACTTAACAGTCTCTACCAAAACATTGGTATATCAAACAGGTTCAACTTTGAGAACATTTCTTATGAGCCATGAAATTTGGTGGGGATTATTAGAATAAATGGGCTAGGCCCTAATTTTCTATTAAATCTCAAGGCCCCATAATAAATGTTAAGGATAATAATACCACCCTGAGAATTAAAAGAGGAGTATCTCAACTTAAATAGGGAGTTATTGGAGGCTCGCTGTTGACCGGTTGAGGTGGGGATTAGAAAGCCACACGCGCACGCGCGCGCGCCGAGCCAAGCCGAGCCAGCCGGGGCGAGGCTGTGGGCGAGGCGTGGCGTGGCATGCGTTGCGTCTCTCTCTCTCTCCTTTTTGCAACGGACCGGAATCCAATCCCGCGAGATTGCCTCTGTAATGGATAGTTGATTCAATGCGATTGATTGCATCGTTACTGCGGCAACGGGCGGATTCCTCTCCTGCGCTATTAGGAAATAGAGCACCCCGATCAGATCTCAAGGCTTAGTTTCCAAACGCTGGTTCTTCCTCCTCGCGCCTGTGCTGCTTCTGTTTTTCCCGGTTCTGATCGCTTGCGCACACGAGAGATCGGGACGAGGAGGGCCTCTAAAACCACACATTCGCCTAAGATCTGCACCGGGTAGGCGGGTGATCAGGTTTGCACGACTGCTCTTCTTCTGTTCGTCGTCTGTTCATCTGCATCACCATGTCTGGAGTTGTCGCACCTAGAGATGGCACACCTGGAGCGGGAGCCGGAGCTGGCGCCCCGATCGACAATACCAACGGAGGCAGTTCTGCCACATAATCCAGCGGAGGGACTTTCACAGTGTATAACTCTCTACCGCTATTTCTGTTTTTGTTACTTCTGTTAGTCGCAATGCTATTGCGTTCTCTACATGATGATGATGCTTATTCTATCTTAAGCACGCTCCTGGTTATGTTTAATTTTATCACTAGATCACCTCACATTGTTCATGCCATGATTATTGTCTTAATATTTTGGATTAAAATATGCCGATATATGACTATATTTCCAACAGTTACATGATTACATCCTTACAAAATATAAGAATTTACATGTTATTAAGCAGATATTAAGGTTTTAAAAACACTTTAACACTCCTTATATGGATGGTTAGGGGTGGGAAAATGGTAAAGATATATATATATATATATATAGGTCATGGTTAATGGGACCCTTTACTCTAAACAATGCCACATGCAATCAGTTATATTTTAATATGTTTTAAATGCTATAAGTGCTTACCTTTAGCATCAAGCATGTGGTTTCCCCGCCGTCGTGCAGCTAAAGATATATACACATGCATGACGCCATCGTGCGTGAAATTTCTTGGTACAGACTCGCGGTGGCGGATTTATGAATTTTTTTTTAGCCTGCACAAACCTAATGATAGAAAATAAATTAACAAGCAAATACAAATACATATAGCATTTTATCATGAATAGAAGTAAATTGGCTATCATCATTTATATACTAAAAGTCCATTAAACTTCCTACAAACGCTCTCAAGCCGCCACATGGCCTCCTACAAACACTCCTATGTCGCCACGTGGCATTTTATAATCTCACCGTCGATTTTCTTTTAAATTGGTGGACCCGTTAATTTTAAGCGTTAGATCTCCCTTAGAGAAAAATCATCCCCACTATTTTTGAGAAAAATTACCGTATTTGCTTTAACTAATAGATAGAAAAAAAAAGAGAATACCATAATAGGACAAGAGGCCAGTGAGGATCGGGCAGGGTACATACGTTCTTTTTTTTTCTTTTTCTGGTGGCATACGTTCTATTTTTTTTCCTGGTGGCATACATACGTTACTACGTTAGTATTTTTTTCGCCTTTTTTTTTGGCAAACAATACTTTTTTTGCTTTACACATTCGGCAAACAGTACTATTACTACGATACGATACGTACATGTACGGGAGTT